GGGCGTGCTGGTCATGTGTGTCTGCTTTGCGCAGTTTCGATCCATCACTGATCAAATTCTCAGTGGCATTCATATTATCAACATAAACGAGCTGATTCCTGGAAGTGCTTTTGACAACAAAATCAACAATGAAGGGAAGTACGAGTCTACCGTGTGTGTTCGGCAAGATGAAATTGACAAGAATTCTCTACTGAATGCCAGGATTACCTTTGAGCAGGAAGATCCAGATACAGTGGCTCGTAGTGAACCTCACAATAACCAGGCGAAAGGAGATACTGCATCTACACTCCGACAAGACTACAATGGTGGAAATCCCATTGCCTGTCGTGTCTTGGTGGCCAATCATGCCGATTATCACTACGAATTGATCGAAAGTGTCATTCTCAAATATCCACTACCCTGGGACGAAATGCCCTGTGATTTTTCCAAAAGCAATGTGGTCGTCTTTGATGTCGCAATGGTCCTGTATCCCTCCAAAGCCAAGGAATTGCCAGCCTTCAAGCCATATTACTACTCCTATCTACAAGGAGGAGTGCCACGACGACGCATGGTGGCAGAAAGCAAACGCAATACGACTGCCAACAATGAAAAATATGAAAATGTCATGGCCGTCATGGGGGATGTGGGCAGTCCATGGGAGATGGAAAAATACGAGGGGATCTATGCCGCGCAAATTGCGGTCAGTTGTGGGACCATTGATCCCAAAGGATTTGTCAATCGCAGTCCCTTTCACTTTTGTGTGCAGCATCTATGTGAGTGTGATTCTACTGTACAACAAGTTTCTACTATACATATATTTGTTCATTTGATCCATTCTTGTACTCATCTCATCTCGTCTGATTTGCATGCATGGATCCATTCTTGTATCTCATATGATTATTTGCGTTCATTGCCTTTTGGATTTCTAGCATGCGATGCAACTGAAACCTTCTGTGACGAAAACACCAGAAAAAGGTCCTGTTGGCTTAGTCCCATGCACAATCGGACATGCTATTTCTTGGCAGATGTCTTCCCCATGTTTCCAGATTCAGAACAATGTCAAAAACAGCCACAAACCAGTGATAATAACAACAACAACAAACTTCGTCTTTGCACAGTTGGTTCCGCCAAGCATCATGGCAAGTTGGCAGCTGTCTTTGGGGCTGACGCCAACTATTACCGACAGCATGTCAAATTGTATATACATCATCGATTTGGGATGCTACAAGACTACGTCATTAACAAAGTTGAGGATGTTGTTGTCATTGCCAATCATTCCAGCTTTATTGGATTCCAACAATCCGTGTCCAAATGCGATATTTTGCTGCCATTGCTGTTTCCGGTTGGCGGAATGATGGGGTACTTCCATTTCAATCGCAAATCACTCAAATTATCGGGCAGCATGTCTCAATTGATTGCTTATCATTTGCCCTCTGTCATGCACAAGGATATATATGATTCCTACAAGGATGTGCTCACGGCACCAGCAACAACACACGATATGACAGAAGAGAGTCTGGACCGGGCACTCAAGCAAATGATCCAAACTGTCACCCAAGAAAGGGAGAAGCCGTGCAACCATATCCACAATTTTGTACGAGGGAGACAGTGCCTGCCACCACTACCATTGCAGCCCCAACTCCAACAAAAGTTGGTGGCTTCTGCCAAAAAAGGTTTCTAGTAGCCAGGAGATATGAAGGCCATTGCACACTACCGCTAAAGGCAACAACAACAATCAGTACCGTACCCACAAACATCCCCAAGCAACCCCTAGATCCAAAATTGAATGCCATATGAACGTTGGGTTTGCTCGCGAGAAGAAAGTCGATACATGGGGAAAGGAGAAACAAGAACAGCAACGGAAACAACAGCACTGCTCGACTACGTCGACATTCCCCCCAAGGCCAAGCCCAGGCCGGGCAAGCCACGGAAAGAGACCATGACAAAGTTGCCCGCTCCTGGCTCAAGCGTCCTCCTTTTAGCAGAAAGCAAGATCCGGTCTGGACGAACTGTTGTGGCGATTGAATTTAGCGGAAGCTGGTTGGAATTGAACGGAGCAAAAGGCCCTGTTATGAAGCATACATGCTTGTGCAACTGACAGGTATTGTGTCATGTCATGCTTGGAGCTTGAAGTGTCCATCGCAAAAGAATGCCGGATTGTTGCTGTTTACTCCATCGGTATTGGCAGGATTGGGATGTCAAAACAGAGGCTCCCAATGCCCCGCCGCCACCTAGAACCCGCCAGTTGTAATCATGATTATCTACTGCACTTTTAAAGTGCCTATGGCTTAGTTCGAGTTTCATCTCTGCATGCACTCTACCGTACTGTTATCCCAACTTGCATACCGGTAGGTCTATCCTTTGCACGGGCCTAAGGATGCTCTAGCTGTTTTATTCCCGTGCTGTCCATGGACTTGATTGTGTCGCGACAAATAATGTTGATGCCTCGACCCGATATATGGAATGACAAGCATGTTTTCAATTGGTCGTTCATCCATGGGGTGTTGGGTAAGAAATGCCGTGGATTTCTTGAGGGGCTCCCTAGTGCATGACGTTCATCGCGCAATAAGTCTGAGCTCTCCTCGGAGCGAATCATTCATGCCAGCTTATTGCTCCTGCTTTGCCCATCTCGTCCAAAATCCAAACAGAGGCATCTTCTTCCTCGCTACACGACACATCATGGTTGGGAATGGCAGCAAGTCATGGTTTGTGCGAACTAAACGCGAAAGTTGGGATGGGTTCGGCACGTATGCATAGTAACCAATAGCATTTACAAGTCCACCATGCACGTAGTGCATAAAAATTTATAGCCAGCAATTACCAACGCCAGAGACGGCCCAAGCTGAAGTTTCCACCAGATGAGGAGCCACCAGCAGGTTTTCGTTTCTTTCCACGGTTTCTCCTGCGTCGTCGCTTTCTTTGTCTTGCGTTCTGCTCTTCTGCCTCCTGTTGCTTGACAATGACGTACAACTGAGCAAATTGCGTTCCACTTTGCAAAGAGTTGACCTCCGTAATGTTCAAGCGCACAAGGTCCGTCTGGGTGGTGACATTGCCCGCCGCCGAGACGACAAACAAATGCGTCTCGTATCGTCTGTCGAATCGATGGCCCGAGACCGAATGGACTTCTCTAACAATGTTCCCATTGTCTCTTCCAAGCATTAGTTGCCAGGAAGCCGGGTCGCGCCAAGGCACATCATTCGCACTCTTGATACCATATCCAACCACTTCCAAAGATTCCTCAAGTGTGACTTGGGCGTATCTTGGAAAAGCTCCGTCGTAGGCCGGATCGTACCACTTGTTCCAGCGGGAGTCACCGTCGCGAAAGATGTTGCGGATGCCTTCTCTGCCTGTCCCGCCTGTGGTTTCCCCGGAGCAACCATAACGGCGAACATCTTGGTTCCTCAATAGTCGCAGCTGACAAGAAAAGGGAGCTTCCTGCATGAATATGAATGCGCGAGTGAAGTAAAAGCAAGCCCTCGGCGCAGTAGACAAAATAACAACTACTAATCTTTGTGACAAACAAAAAAAAAACGGTAAAATGCAACGAAATAAATCATTGCGAATCGCCGACCTCCAAGCTGGAATTGCCTCGCAGAGCGCAACAACTTCGTTGTGAACAGAGATGATGTAATCAATGTCCTGCACCTTGCTTGCATGGTTGCTCTTGGTGGGATACAGGAACGAGAGGATATGACAGAGGCTGTCGGGATTCATACTTGGTATGCTCATTATTTATTTGGTCTTGATTCGTCGTCGGAAGAGGAGTTGCTGTGGCCCCTTAACAGAAACATGAGCGCAAGAAAAATGTTGTGGAGGTGATGTGGAGGGAGGTAAAGGCCAGTACTCTCAGACGTGCCTGCCCAAGACGCGTTGATTAGAAACGAACCGTCCACTTAACGATGTATCCTAGAGCCTGACCTTCGACGGGCCCATGGTGTCAAGTTCACTCGATACCGGTAGAGCACAGAGAAGAAAGAAAAAACTGTAATAGCCAAGGCAGTTATAGGATTGCCAACAGAACATGCTGTGCTTAGAGTTAGCAGGCCATGGGTGGACCGCTGGAAAGCCATTGGTCTGCTCTTGCCGTGCCGCCCTTGCCTGCCATGTTTTAGTGGGTTGTCGGAAGAAGTCAACACTGTTTACCATGGAGTGTCGAAATGAGATGTGTCAAAGTGGAGTGAGAGATGCTCAACAGGCACATGATAACAAGTTGCAGAGTCACCAGCAATCGATAGAGCATACCCAACTTACCCTTGCGACATACTCGCATTGTCATTGGGGTAGCCTTGCTTGCCAAGATAATAGATCGACAGTAGCAGCGTCGGAAGATTGATTGTTGTTTCTGTTGGCCCCTTTCGGCATGGCCAATCTTGCTGCTTTCCCTTCTTTTCGGAGGCTGGATGGCTGGCGTGAAAAGGAATCCAACAACGAAGGAAGCTCATTCTTCGCCAATTTCGCTCATAGGAAACGGCAAAGACCAAGATGACGGATCTTTACTCTGATAGCTATGATGATGCTTCGCCTGATTTCTTGACTGACCTGTTTCTGTACGGAGAGGACAAAGTTAAAACAAAGTTTGTGCACCAGAATGGTTCCATTGATGTATTGTGTGGCAATCACAACCGTCCTTGCTTCACCATTCTTACCTGAGAGAGAGAGAGACTCGCAGCTATCCAAAGAATGGAATGCACTTCACTGTGTTGGTGATGGTCCCATGGACTAGCTAACCAGAACTTTTTCGTTTTCGATCTGACCGCACCTCCACTTTAACTTCGTTTCCGTCCTTGTCGACAAAAGAAGCATACTTTTCAATATGAGCTGATGGATTTCGTTGCGTTTGCAGCTTTTTGAGCAACCCCTTTACCAGCTTCCCTCTAGGAAACACAAATGGAAGGTAGTCACGTTTTATCTGTGTCAACCCCTTCACCAAAACTGCATCTTCAGTACTTGCCACGCACAACATCCGAGTTTTACCAAACACACCACCTAAGACTTCATTTTTTCGCAGCATGACCATTCATCTTCCCCACATCAACCCGAGAGTCCCCATGGTAGTCCTTTGCTTGAATCATGATCGTGATCTTTTTGAATTCTCTCTCAGTATCTTTCTTCTTGGCACAAAATGTGACCAGGCCGTCGCATAAATCGCTATTCCCTTCGTTGACACAAGCAATAGGGAAAATTTTATTGCCAGGCCCGGGAAACATTTCAAGCTGAGTTAACGCCCAAAGTAATTGGGTTTCAATTTGAAGCAGCTTGCCGGGAGTGGTAGAATTTGAAACAATTTTGAGCCCAATGTCGAGCTGGCGAGTCCTAGCGTGGTAGGTTGATTCGCTACCTGCGTCGGCAAGAAATGAAGTCCATTGTCCCAAACTATCCCAAGTTGCCTTTATGTTGTCGCTTGTAACACCATCGTCCACCTCAAAACCGATGGTGCCCAGAACATCCTTTACGGAGGGTCGATTGGCGTTGTTGACTACAGCTGAAGCGGCGAGGGCACATTTGACAAAATGCGTTGACATAAGTTCGAACCCAAACCCAGTCGGCTCCAGCATCGTTGGAGAATCAATCCCCAGCATAAAAACTGCAATGAGCTGTTGGGGAATGGACATGAAAAGAGGCGGTGATATTTCATTTGTCGTACTTGTCGTCGATGTCGATGTCGATGCCCCTCGAAGGCTCCAGCAGGCCATATTTAGTCACCAACTTCTTCACGGAAACACTTTCTTCTGTCGCAAATTAAAAAAAAACTCCATCTTGCTTGCCCATTTTGCAAGTTCCCTTGACGTTTTAGGCACCTGTATTCTGAATTCAGCCCGGTGAGAGAAAAGATGAACAGCCAATGCGCAGGCAGCCACACTTCGTTGCCTTTTTGAATTTCTTGAAATTTCCGACATGCCATTGCTGCTTATAAAATCCCGCACAACTCCATGTACCAAATGTCGTTCGCTAATAACCTCCTCGCTTTGCGTCCCCATATGGTCTCGTAGTTTATTCAATGCGATAGATGCCATATGCCCATTTTTCAATAGAGTCGCCAGCACAGGAAGACAATCCTTCAGAAGTTCTAGATTGGTGATAGACTCTCTTGTAGCGCTCCAGGGAACATGGACGGTTACTGGATTGAGAGATAGTCTCTTGTCAATGATAACTTGACACCAGTTTTCTTCGTCGTGATACGGCGTGAGGATTACAAACTGGTCGGGAAGAGATCCAATGGTGGTTGACGCAATCGCAATTCCGGTTCCACAGACAGAAATCTTGGTTTGTAGCCGAAATTCAGGCACATGATCTTCGATTCCTTCATTGATGGCTTGATTGATCAGTTTGTGAATGTAATCTGGGAATCGTAATATTCCCCGAATTATGCGCGGGCACGACGAAGCCTCGTCAATCGCAAGGACTACCTTCAGAGGGCGGTTCATTTCTCGGACTGCGTCAATCAAGGATCGAATGTGTTTCTGTTCAACCAAGTATCAAATCTTGTACCTGCGGAAGAATCTGCTGGTCCATCGCCAGCATGTTCTCTTCAGCGGAGCAGCCTGCCCTCTCTTGGCTGCTTGATTTCGGTGGATCTCTGTGACTGATTGCTTCGTATCTTTCATAATCATTCGGGCTCGGGTCTCTCACTGTGATGAAAACTGCAAGGTCCGATTCCCGTGAAGCGGAGCTGCCCACAAGCTCAGATGTCTTGCCACTTCTGCTGGAAGAGTAGTACAACAGTGATTTTCCCTCTGTATTCTTCTTTAGGCATAGAAAGGGCGGGATGCTTTCGCAATCATCGACCCCTTCATGGCGGAACCTTATCGTCGTTTTCTGGGCAAGGTAATAAGCTTTGGTTTCCACGGCGGCTGCGCCTATCACTCCGCCGTCTTCATCATTGAGAAACACTTTAATGCTGCTGATAAGCGACGTAGGATCATTTTCGGTGGCCTCAAGGACTCTTTTTACCTCCGCAGTCTATCTGCCTGAGCCCTCTACCCCTTTTTCGGTATTTCCTATTTCCTATTTCCTATATCCTATTTTCTATTTTCTATTTTCTATTTCCTATTTCCTGTTCTGGTGAAGCCAAAATATAGGGATAGAGATAGGCGTAAGCCAACAAAACTGGAAATTGAAGGTTCTACAAATTTAGAAGGAATAAGTCATGATTATTCAAGGTTAGTGCACTCAATACAATAAGCCAGCAGAAACAGGTACATACGGGAGTGACAGCTGTAAAATTATGGTTAGCGGGCGGCAACACACGACGAAGTCGGGTGTTGTCGCCAGGGCTAGTTTAAAGAAAAAAGAAGATTGCAATGAGGGAATGGTACCGGGCGGCAACACACGACGGAGTCGGGTGTTGTCCGTCGGGTGTTGTCGCCAGGGCTACCTTGAAAGAAGGGTGCAATCTCAAACATGATCCTCCTTCTTCTATTTATTTGTCTTTCTGCCGAGGTATCGCAGCTCCCGCTGACTTAACAGGATCAGCCATGGTGAAGTAAGCTTTCTGTCACCTCTTGCTTACTCATGCATGGAAGCAACGTGCTGCCGCTGTGGTTACTGCGCTGCCGGTTAATAACGGTTAACGGTTTGCATGGAGTGTCTGGACAGTCCTGTTGATACTACTAGGTAGCAAGTCACGGTGGGGACTCGACTCGACTCGCTCGATCGCCCAAGTCCCGCCCCACATTGGTTCAGAGGGCCAGTGCTACTCCGCCGATTTAGTTGAGAATTTTAAAAATGGTGAGAATTCGCCGGGAACACTGGGGAATCACCAGGTCACCACACTTTTGAAATTATCTGCTTGTTCCTGCCAAGGCACATCCTCATCAATTACCACACCAATTTGGCTGTCAAAGATACCCTAGCAGTTTAACCAATAGAGTCGCCCTAGCAATACTTTGAGATAGGGAATACATAATTTGGATGTGGCGGTCGCAGTGGTGGTACACGTTTAACGCGTATTAACGAGGGACAGTTAATTCACGCTTTTGCTATGGTAGTGTTAAGCGTTAATAACAACGTCATTAGAGATTTAACAGTGAGTTAACAAAGCTTAACAAATCGATTAACGAAGTTTAACAACAATCGACCATGGCCAAGAAGGACCGCTCACCGACGGCAATACACCTTCTTGCGCACTGACAGCTTGCTACATGAGTGTGTATCCATAATGGGGTGGCGTGGTTAGATGGAGAGCTGGCTAAAGCCACCGTAAGTGCCATCAAAATCGGAAGACGCATTCGATTCATTCAAATTGTTGGGATCCATCCGAGTGCTGCTTCCGCTGCTGCTGTCGTCTCCATTGTATTCGTCTCCTCCGTCGTCTTCATTGTCAGCTGTTCCATAGTCATCTTCTGTGTCTTCTTGGGGGTCGACTTCGGAATCGACTTCGGAATCGACCGCATGAGCAACAGCAAAAAGAGAGCCACCGCCAACAAAATGAACCGTAACGTGGCATCCTCCTTGGTCAGAAACAAGCACCAAATGATGCATAGACTTCGACACGATTGTGCCCTCTACTCCATCCAAGAATGCGAGGTCTCCATTCGAAACCACGTAATTTGGGTGGACGTGAACGCTAATGCTTGCATGAGCTCCGTTGTTGACGGCATCAACCAGACCCATTGCGATACACTGGCAGATTGCCTCGAGAGGCAAAGGTGTTGGCTGCTGCGGATTAAAGAGAAAGGTGTTAGCATGAAAGAGCGGCATGGTATTGTTTTGGTTAGTGGCTGGGTGACGATTTATGAGGTGCAGCAATGCGATCGAAATAGTGCGATCGAAACACGAATTCAATCCGCACGTTGGTGCGCTTGTTGGTGCAGTTGGAGCACTATTTATATTCCACAGAATGCTCTTCTGTGCACAGGAAGGCCATAAACAATGCTAGCGAATATTTCCCGGAATATGCATGAGCATTCCTTGACGCAACAAACTGCCACCAAAGAGCAAACAACGCTAGTCGGAAGTTTCTTTTTCCGGCCACGTGTGAGCTCTTCAATACCAAGACAATACCACAATTAACATCAATCGTCGACCATGAGCGAGGCTACTTACGCTTTCGGTGGTGAGCGGGTATGGAATCCCATCGTTCAGATCCGTCCTGCTGCCGAACTAGACAAGATGGTTGGTCCAGGCAGCGAAACTCGTCATCCAATCGTTTCATGGAGAGCTTGTATCAAATCGAAAGATGGGTCATTGGCACAAGAAACAATGCAAATGAAAGCCACTAAGGTTTCTTTCGATCGTCATGGAGATTCAGTCAAGTTCCGCTTCCTTGTGACAGGATATGAGCAAACGGCCAAGGAAGAGGTTGGCGAGTGCAAGGCTGAGGACTTTTCCACATCGTCGTTGCTTACAACTCAAGAGCTCCGTTTGACTACTCGTGTGAATTGGGAAACATCAAGTTTCAAGTGGAAAAGCAAATCCTCTGCTGGGCTTGCCACTCGAACAGCTGTTGTAGAGTGCAAATTCAACGATGACAACATGCAGCCCTCGGATATCCTTCGCATCGAAGTGTTTTCTCCAAAAACAAGCGAGTTTGATAAAGGCAAGAGACTTATCAAGGCCTTGGAGTGGGGCAAGCTTGTGGTGGATGCCAACCTTAAATTTCAAGAGCTGATTCGCGACGACGGAATGTAGGAACGCACAGTACAGTATTGTTGGTCTCCCCAGCGTCTAGTAGGTTACGGCTTATATTTACGTACAAGAAGCAACAGCATGGTGGTACACGTGTAGCTAATATTGCTTATAGTTGACCACACTGTCTACACTCATATATAAGTTGTTTGTCACGTGCAATAGATTAAGGCAGCTCATCGTTAATCTCCTGCCACTCAGCTGCGTCAAGTCCTTGAATAGCACAGAGCAACACCTTCTTTCGTCGCTGTTTGTTGAAGGAGAGGAGCTTCAAAGCCACACCCTCATCTTCCGTATCAAAGCAACGCTGGAGCCCAACATCCTTATCAAAATCCACAATCTCTCCTGCGTACAATGACTCGAGCCTCTCGTCGTCTTCTTCTGTCCACTCATCGACTGTTGGTGGCGGCAGATCTCTGTATTTATTCTTCCACAGCCCAAGGAGAACTGGTTTGTTCACCGATGTCTTTTCATTGTTTGGTGCAGTTGGACTGGGCCCTTGCTTCCACTGAATAACGACCTGCAGATCCGACTTCAGCCATGACTTGCAATCCGTCTTGCTTGACATCACGTTCGCAGCAGCAACTGTCAGCTCTTGGTGTGCATCGAATTGTTCTTTCCGTTTTTCTAGTTCTTTTGCAAGCTTCTCTTGGTTCTTTCGAGCGAATGCAATCAACGCATCATCACACGTCATTGGCGCTCCACCATTTGTTACGTGGAACCATCCACTAGCAGTTGCCACCTTCATTATAGCATCTTGCCTCTCTCTTGTGTTTGGTTCTGTCACTGTTGAAGCTCTTCCTCGAACTTGATTCATTGTCACTCTGCCAACGGTGCGACGTAGATTATCGGCAAGCTCATATCCATCGAGCGAGAGAGCTTCGCAAGCCTCTCGGTTCTTTCGTTCAAGCTCATCAAGAAGGGCACCATATGGGTCCGCTTCTTCGTCAATATCACCATCCTCCGTTTCCACAATCTCATGTCGAATTTGAGACGACTTCAGAGTAACTCGAGTGCTGGGGCAGTAGCCACATTTGTCCATTGCTTTGTGGACATGTGCCGCATCCATCGACTGGGCAAAGGCATCGACCAGCTCAATCGTAGAGCCATCTGTCAAGGTCACGACACCACCAAAAACAATACTGCCCACATCCGCCATCGAAAGGGCTGCTGCTTCCCCTTCGAGCCGAAATCTTGCAGCCCAAAGGCGAGAGCGATTCTCATAGATGAGTTTCTTCAAGTAGCCGAACATTTGATCAAGTTCTTGCCCTGTTGATGTACCATTCGGCATGCCTGGATAAAGGTGAAAGCCATTTGATCGGAGCTTCAATAGCGTCTCTGGATCCCTACGGCCTGGGCCCGAGTCGATCTTTACAAGCACTCGGTTTTGTTTGTTGTCGGCACTCTTTGGGTAGAGTGGGATAATGCAACGGGTGAAGAACTGGAACAGCATGTCCTTTGTCATACCTCCTTTTGGGTTCATTGCAAAGGGAACGTTGTGATATCGCTCTTCGTTAAACCCAAAGATGGCTTTCATTTGAGGCAACGACGCAGCAAAATCTGCCTTCAGCTTGTAGTTCGATGGATCCTTTGCGCTTGTCGGAAATATCAATAGTGGTGGCAACGCTTCACCTGCAAAGTTGACTCCAAACATGATAGTCATTGATGCTCCATTCTTTTCGGTTGCTTGCCCACCATCTTTAAGACCAGCTCTTGATGCCGATGGGATAAGACTCTCTCTGCCTCCGATGGATGAGTCAGTTCCCTCTAAAGCAAGGTTCATTTCATCAAACTGAAGCACATGTGACAGCCGCTCTTTCTTTCATACAATGTGGCCTACTTCATTTGGACGCTCATCGTAGGCAAGCTCACGAGCAAAGCCAAGCTCAACGGCATACTGCTCCCAGTTTTCATAGTGTCGAAGCTGTGTCTTGTAAGTCAACCAGAGCACACGGAGAGACTCTCTGCTATCAGCTTTTGTCAAGTCTTGGAGGTGGCAAATCTCCTCCTCAATGCGACGATAGAAACGAGCGTCATTCATTTCCGGCAAGCCTTCCGCCATTCTCTTGGTATTGAGAATCTCTCCAACAACACTCTTGAGTTGCTCTCGATTGGATCTTTCTTTGCAGTTCGCTTGCTCAATTGCACATGCTGTGAATACTGCAGAGCAGAAGTTCTTGAACTCTTCGATGGGTACTTCTCCCTGCCTTCCTAGCCGAGGTGGAGACTTGTTGACATCTCCTTTGGCAACAGCAGTCTGCAGCTCTCGTCCGGAAAGGCAATCAATGCCAATCAAGTTGTTGAACGTGGTCGCAACAGCTTCAGCAGATTTGAAGGTTGCCAGTGAATTTTCATTCAAGCGAACAGAGTTGTAGATTACCGTAGCTGCTTTGAAAACAGACTTACGAATGTTGTCAATCTCTCGTCGAGATTGCCTTTCTTGTTGAGCTGCTTTGCTGGTTCGGCGTGTATCGGTTGTTGTTGTGAGGTGGGAAATGGCGCTCCGGTTACTCCCTTGTGGCCTCCTTGCATCTTTCCAATCAACATTAGAGCTAGTGCTGTTGTTACTAGATGCCTTGGCATTGGACGCAGATGATCTGCTGGCACCACAATAAGAGCTGTCAAAGAGTAGATTCATCTCTCTGTTTCAAAAATCCGGTGGTGTATTAAAGAAAGAGTATTCTTCGTCATCCTCATCAAAGCATACAACAGTAGCATTTGGATCTAGGACGGAGATTGGAGACATTGTAGAACGAGGACTGTTAGCAAATTCAACCCTTTCAACTGGATGGAGCGGATGAAGCGGCGGTGGCCTTGTTGTTGTTCTTGGATTGTTGGCAGGAGGTGGCGGCTGCTGGGGTGCTGCTCTCCAGCTTGTCCTCGCCGCAGGAGCCGGCTGCGGAACTGCAGTGGTGGCAGCCGCAGCCGCTGGCGGTGTTTGTTGTTTCCTTTGGAAAGCTTTGATTGCTCGGCTCACCTTCATGAAGCAAGCTCCGGCTTTGCGCTGTTCTTTGTTGAAACCAGCTAAGAGCATTGCAAGAGCTTGGGTTGGCTTCTTTCCATTCGCAGGATTTTCGACAATGCGCTGCCAAAGATACACTGCACGCTTCGTGTTTTCGTCGATGTCGTTCTTGTGTTCCGGTCGGCCATATCGTTGCTCAATCCCATTGCGTCTTCGGTCAAACTGCTTCTTGACTTGATCAAGTATCGCCTCCGCTTCATCCATTCTGACAGCAACCAGGCAGTCTTCTCGCCCCAGATACGTCTCAGCCCATTCAGGGATAGCCCTGGAGACCTCAAGAGCCTTCTCTACGAGTTCATCGCGGTTCATCGTGGCCAGGAAGTGCACCGAAAGCGGAGACAGAAGGCAACAGACGATGATCAACCTCCGAGAGAAAAACAACAACAGAGGACCGTTGATACCAATTTTCCAGCCCTCTCCAGGCCAACTTCGCTTGCACATGGGTCCATATACATGTTGCCTTCACTCCAAAGCTGCACGACAGTGTGATAAAAGGTGCAAAAGAGCGCCATGGTGCAGTTTGAATTGTTCGAAAAGTCAGTCGAAATTGTTGCTTGCTGTTAACTTTAAGCTGTTAAGGCAGTTAATACTGCGTGAATAATCCTTTAACAGGCCGTGAATCGTTAATCCGCGTTAAACGTGTAGTGGCTTGCCCATTTGGTGGCCATGGAAGTAATGAACAACTAGCAAAGTGGGGAACTCCTTTTTGTATTTTTTATTGGTGGCCCTGTCTCCAGCTGATCTTAGATCCCAATTCTGGTCGAACCAAGCCCAACAATTGCAGTCATGTCTACATCTATATGTCCAAGGAAGCCTGGAGACAGGCAAGCTGGCGTTCCTACTACAAAAATGGCTAAATTGAATGCAAAGATCACCTCATAATTTCTCGTCGTTCGCTTTCTCTTCATAATGTCGACGCAAAGAAGTACCGATAGTATCGATCCGTCGGAAAATGCTGCCACTGCTTCTGATGTAGTTCAGAAGAGTCGACCGGTGCCATTGTTTATTGTTGGTAGCCGCTACTGGCGGTGCGTCATGGTTGCTCCATGGGAGCAGTCGTCCACCGAATCGAATCGAACGCAAGTAGCTCGCTGCCATTGTCTCCAGCATAACCAAACAAGATTATAACCAAACAAGAGGAGCCTGTCATTATGGAGACTTCATCAAAGGAGTAGCCACTGTAGTAGTTGTTGTAGTAAGGAGGTGAAAACAGTAACATCATCTTGATACCGGTAGGAGAGACTAAAGATAATGAAAAATCATTCTTTCCTTGCGGGTTAATGGGTTGCAGTGGCTTGATCCATAGGGTTGAGGCTTTTAAAATAGTTGGCTATTAAGTCTTTTCATCTCTTCTAAATCTAAGTTCGTCATGGCGGGACTCAACATCAACGAAAGTTCTTACTCCAAAGGATTATATATCTTAAACAGAAGGTGTACAGGCTGGTTTTGCTGGGGCTCGCGAATCTAAGCCAGCCTGTACAAAACTTGAGAATTCTCAACTTAATCGGCGGAGTAGAGTGTTGGAAGCATATATATTTACGAGTCCAACAAAGTTTCACGCTTTTGAGTTATTTTCACCGTTTTTGAGTTGGTTTCACCGTTTTTGAGTTAGTTTCAACGTAATGAGTTAGTTAGTCTAGTTTCACGAAAATCGGGAATTTCCGTGAAACTAAGAAACGGTGAAACTAAGAAAACGGTGAAACTGAGTTTTTAGTCACGTTTCATGACCTTGCAACCTGCTTGGGGCAGACGACAAAACTTGATATTCAAATCCAAAATAGGATCACTTCCGAAGCTTGCCCCTCGCCTCAGCTCAGTGTTTTCTTTTCCTCCTCTTCCTTTTCCCCTGGTTGCACTGGACAGAACAGACCTGCCCATCATGCAATACTTGCACTTCTGCGAACGGGGAATGAGTCCAATGATGCCCCCCTTGCGGACTAACCCATTGGTTCACCGGGTATAGAAGGCTCTTGAACTTGAGCCCTGGAGACGTCAACGTATGGAGAACCTGAGAGGGCTCAACGCAATCATTAAAGGTAAGAACGGCCCGGAAGTCGAGGTCAAATGTGTTCTCGTACAGGTTGCAGGCTGCGCACAGTGTATGGACGGTTTGGCTGGAAACAGCCTCACCGGTCAATGTCTGAAAATCGTAGATTCGACCCAGCTCTCGTTCCAAGAAGCGAAAGGATTCCAAGGCAATATTGGCTTCATGCAGATCCATGGCTTCCGACGGCATGGCAGAGTCGTACGCCGGCTCAAAGGTGAAACTGATCGTTCCGTCCAAGGTGAATGAGTTCGTACTGGCATCGCCTCGACAAAATGGAACGTAAGCTTCATTCGAGACAATTCCATTCGTGATGACTTTTTTCTTTGGTACTCTCGGTGGGCGGGAAGGAGTTTGGGCAGTTGGTGATGCTGTCGGAGGCACAGTCGCGGGCATAACTGTGGGCCAAGGAGTTGGTTTTCGTGTCGGAGGAATAGTCGGCCAAGAGGTTGGTTTTTCTGTCGGAGGGGCTGTAGGGGGATTAGTGGGAGTTTCTGTAGGAGGATTCGTTGGTGGTTCAGTAGGCGATTTGCTTGGGCTGGAGCTTGGGCTGGAGCTTGGGCTGCCGCTAGGACTTCCTGTAGGTGGATCAGTCGGAACCTCGGTGGGGGGCAATGTGGGCCGATTAGTTGGTGATCGAGTTGGAAGGTTGGTAGGAGGATTGCTTGGGGGAGTGGTAGGATGCGCTGTTGGGAGCCATGTAGGTAGCTCAGTTGGGGGGTCTGTTGGGGGTGTTGTAGGCGCTGGAGCTCCACCTCCAATTGGAGGCAATGTTAATGCTCTGGTGTCTTCAGTTGGTGCTGGTGTTGGCATATCTGTGGGAGGCAGCGATGGAGGGC